TCTGAACCAGGTGCTTTAGGGGTGTCTCCTTTGTGGGTTGTATGTGTCCCACTGTTGTGGCTGAGCCTCATTTGCTTTCAGTCCAGTTGGCTGCAATGGCTGACTTTGCCTGTTGTGGGTGCACCAGGCAATTTGTTCCCCATGCTGTTAAACGGCTGGTCTGGGGCCACTGTGGGCTTGTAGTTGGACAATGTCAGCAGTCAGACCAGCTGCTTGCCCTCAGCCCATCTGCCAGCGCAGCAGTGGTACTAAACTTCAGGGCATTCTCCCTTGCTGCCCCCTGAGAGCCTTGTTGGTGGGTGGGGCTGGCAGTTAGACCAGATGTCTGCCCCAGTCCCATCTGCTGGGACTATAGTCACACTGATGTGTGTGGTTATCTTCCTCTTTCCCCAGGGGAGGAGTCACTTTGGAGTGGCACTGGACCCTACTGGGGGTTGCTTGCAGGATGTGTCTTGGCAGGAGCCACTTTGGAGAGATGCCTGTGGAGTAGGGTGGGGTGGATGAGGTGGATTAGCAGGAGAATGCAGAAGTAGGGTGTGTGGTGTTAGCAAGTTATGGGAGAGTGTTTGAGCTGGTTTCCACAGCTGTCTGGCTATCTAGGCTGGGGTGGGGTTGGGGGCGATGGCACCTGCTGGGGCTTTGTTCTAGGAGAAGTCACCTGAAGAACCTGCCCCTCCAGTGCAGGTTCTGAGATTAGTAAATAAGTCTTCCCGTATACCCTTGGCGCTTTCAGATTGCTGCTTCTGTACCGTACCTTGGTTGGGTTGTTTGTTGTGTTAGCTCTTTAAGGATGGGAACTCAGTTTCCTATCGCCCTCTGTCTCTCCCAGAGCTAAGCCTGCTGATTTTTAAAATACCTGGAGTTAAGCCCTCCTGATTGTAAAAAGTCACAAAGTTAAGCTCCACTGTTTTTCAAAGCCAAATGTTATGGGACTTGTCTTCCCACTGCAGGTTCCCTGTGTCCCGGGTTCCTGGTGTGGGGTCTGCTCCTCACCCTTCTCCGTGCTTGTGGTGTCCCTGCTGTTTGTGGTTAAGTCTCCCTGGGAGTTTGGTTCCCAACTGCATCTCTGCCCCTTCTACCTCTTTCTGTGTGGCCTCCTCTCTATTAACTGTGGAAAGTCTCTTCTGACAGCCTTTGGGTTTTCTGAGTTAGCTGCACTGATGTGGCTGTTATCTAGGTGTGTCTGTGGGCCGAGGGCCTCCTACTCCACCATTTTTTTAGAAGTCCTCTTTGCCCATTTTTAATTATGTTTTTTTACTGTTGAGTTTTGAGAGTAGATATGAATCTAATGTCAGATATGATTTGCAAATATTTTCTCCTAGTTTGTGGGTTGTCTTTCATCCTCCTAACCATGTCTTTTGCAGAGCAAGTGTTTTTAATTTGGATGAAGTCCAGTTTATCAATTCTTCTTCTATGTGTTGTGTTTTTGGTGTTGTATCTCAGAACTCTTTGCCTAACCCAAAGATTTTCTCCTGATTTTTCCTTTATGTTTTTTTTCTCCAAGTTTTATGTTTTACATTTAGATCTCTGATGCATTTTGAGTTAATTTTTGTATTAGATGTAAACTAAGGTTCCTTTTTTTGCATATGGATGTCTGGTTGTTTTAGCACCATTTGTTGGAATTATTTCTCCATGGAATTGACTTCTTGCACCTCTGTCAAAAGTCAGGTTCGTGTTTGCCAGGGTTCAGGGATGATTGGGGGGTGGGGTTTGCCTGTAAAGGATAACACAAGGGTGGGGTGCCTGGGTGGCTCAGATGGTTGGGCATCTGCCTTTGGCTCAGGTCGTGATTTCTGGGTCCTGGGATTGAGCCCTGTGTTGGGCTCACAGCTCGGCGGGGAGTCTGCTTCTCCCTCTCCCTCTGGCTCTCCCCCTACTTGTGCTCTCTCTGTCTCTCTGTCTCTCTCTCTCAGATAAATAGATAAATCTTAAAAAAAAAAAAAAAGGATATGGGCGCCTGGGTGGCTCAGTTGGTTAAGCGACTGCCTTCGGCTCAGGTCATGATCCTGGAGTCCCTGGATCGAGTCCCGCATTGGGCTCCCTGCTCGGCAGGGAGTCTGCTTCTCCCTCTCCCACTCCTCGTTTGTATTCCCTCTCTCGCTGTGTCTTTCTTTGTCAAATAAATAAATAAAATCTTTAAAAAAAAAAAAAAGGATAGCATAACGGAGACTTTTGCAGTGATGAAACAGTTCTGCATCTTGATTGTGCTGGTGGTTACACAAATCTACAGATGTGAGAAAATAATATAGAACAAAACATACACATTACATCAATATCAACTTCCTGCCTTTGATTTTGTACTATAATTACGTAAGATGCAACCATCGAGGGCAGGGACTGGGTGAAGGGTACATGGGACCTCTCTGTACTATCTTTGCAACTTCCTGTGAATCTGTACTTATGTAATTATTTAAAATTACTATAATTACTTTAATTACTTTAAAATAAAGAGTTAAAAAAATCACTTGACCATATTTGTGTGAGTCTATTTCAGGACTCTCTACTCTGTTCCATTGATCTATTTGGCTGTCCTTTGCCGTTACCAAACTCTTGATCTTTTTAGTTTATAAGTCTTGAAACTTTATTCATTTCAAAATTGTTTTGCCTATTCTATCTATTTTGCATTTCTGTATAGATTTTGGAGTTAGCTTGAGACTTTCTACAGAGAGAGACTTTCTACAGAAAGTCTGCTGGGATTTTAATTAGGATTGCTTTGATCAATATTTAACGGTACTAAATCCTCTAATATCTTCCTTTTATTTCTAATTTTCATTTTTAGCTTCCACTTTAAAATTTCTCTTAATCCTCTACAGCTAAAGATGAGTGGGCAGAGTCCCAGCAAGCATGGAACAGAAGTTAGGTGGAACAGAAGATGTGCAGCCTGGCAGGATGTTTTTTATTTTATTTTTTTAATTTATTTTTTAATTTAATTTCATTTTTTTTAAGATTTTGTTTATTTATTTGACAGAGAGAGAGAGCACAAGCAGGGGGAGCAGCAGAGGGAGAGGGGGAAACAGACTTTCTGCTGAGCAGGGAGCCCGACGCGGGGCTCACCTGGGATCATGACCTGAGCCGAAGGCAGATGCTTAACCAACTGAGCCCCCCAGGCCCCCCAGGATATGTTTTTTAAAACTCCAGGCTGTGTGGCAAAGTTACTTCTGCCTAATAAGATGTTCCACGTTGGTATTAAAAAAAAAACAAAAAAACTCCAAGTGTTACCATAGCAATTAATATTTCAAGAAGCAAAATATATTGGCAGTTTCTTGTTTTGTGTCCTTTAATTTCTAAGACTAAACATCTTTTTGAAACTCCCAAAGTGGTTTAAAATTTTTAGGAGGGAAAGGCAAAAATGGATTCAGGTTTGGTTTCTTTCTACTTTTTCTCATATTATAAATGTAATTTTAAAAATTCCCAAACTTCTGGTGTGCCTGGCTGGCTCAGTTGGTGGAGCATGTGACTCTTGATCTGAAGGTGTGGGTTTGGGACCCATACTGGGTGTAGCTTACTTAAAAAAATGTAATTAATGAATTAATAAAAAAAATTCCCAAACTCCTTTTCAGAAGTGAAGGAGAAAGTCAGGGACCTGATAAGGTTAACAGTGATATGCAGTAACCAAATCCCATTAAACCTGAGTTCCTTGAAGCAGGGACTGTTGTGCTATCCCTCAGACCCTGGCATTTATTAGAAATTCAATACATTATTTGTTGAATGAGTACATCAATTTTGTTTTCACCTATAGACTTTGGGCCCTAACTTAGGTTCTTTCTATTCCAAAGTGGGTTTATCACTTGACTAATACTATATAATAATAGAAGAAAGCTCCTATTCTTTTTTTTTAAGATTTTATTTTTAAGTAATCTCTATACCCAACATGGAGCTGAGGCTCACAACCCAGAGTCAAGAGTCGCATGCTTCACCAACTGAACCAGCCAGGCACCCCAGAAAGCCTATGTTCTTATGTCCTCTGACCGAGAGTCAGTTTTCAAAATAATCAACAAGGAGTGAAGAAATATAAAGTCACTAAGTTAAAGGCTTACAGGGGGACATGTTTCAGAAGTAAGAGTGAGGGGTCTTTGTTTCTCTTTAGGAGTGAATAGGGGGTGTGATATAATCCCTGGAACAGAGAGCTAGGACCACGACCTGGTCAGAGCCACTGCAGAGGAGCAGAAATGGACAATTTGAAATGTGTCTACTCCCTCTAGGTGTGTGGGCATTCGCTCATCAGCATGGGTTTTTTTTTTTTTTTTTAAATTCATTTGAGACACAGAGATACAGAGAGAGAGAGAGAGCGTGAGCAGAGGGAGAGAGAGGGAGAGGGAGAAGCAGGCTCCCTGCTGAGCATGGAGCCTGATGTGGGGCTCGATCCCAGGACTCTGGGATCGTGACCTGAGCCGAAGGCAGACGCTTAACCATCTGAGCCACCCAGGCGCTCCAGGATGGGTTTGTTAATGAACCAGATTGTTAATTCAAAAAAATCCACTCCCTATTACCTCCAAATCTCCTCCATGCAGGATAAATTGGGGGCATATCAACATTCCTCATGGGAGGCATCAGTGTAGTAAATCTTTTTAATACACACTCCTCAGTATGTGCCCATATTCTAATTTTATTTCGATATTCACCAGCCTACCCCTTACTGGGCTTCTCATTGCAGATTTTTAGGTCTCAATATAGCACTTGATTTTGGTGGCCGAAGAGTATACTTTAGCTTGGTAACTTTTGACAAAAATCCACCTAAAGTAAGAGCCGACTTCTGGGTAGCTTAGAACGGAGTCCCCAAACCAAGTCATTCTTTTGTCATAGACTGTACAACCTTTGTTATTCCTCGCTTAAAGGGGGCAAATGTAAAGGGAATATAAAACATTTCTCTGCTGGATGTAGCAACTCCTTGTATATGAATTCCTGATCAGGCAAAGTTCAAGTGCTGCTTAAATAATAGAACCTAGATGAGCTACTCTTTAATTATCTGTGAGGAATATATTGATTTTTTTCCCCTACAGATCATTATGTTAAACTCTGTGTCTGACCTTCATGGCTACATTGACAAAAGCCAACTGACAGAGGACTTAGGGGGAACTTTGGAATACCGCCATAATCAATGGATAAATCATCGAACTGTGAGTACCAATTTACATGCCCTTTATGTTGTCTCTCCTTGTTTTCCAGAAGACAGGGCAGTTAAAGATCAACTGTTGGGTGGTCATTGCCCACGACCACCTAACATTGGGATGGTTGGATTTTCTAAGCCACAGGTAGGGGAGAAATGGGGTGGAAGGGAAGAGGCTGTGACTTGTCCTCATATCTACCTTTGCCTCACCTCATCATCTGGCATGCAGTTTTGGGGAGACTTGATTTAGAATGCACCTGGGGAGTTTTCAACATACCAGCACCCTGCTCTACCTCAGAGAAATTAATTTGCTTGATCAGGGTTGGGTCTCAGACATTAGCATTCCATGCAACTTCCCAGATGATTCTAATGTACAGAAAGATAAAAACCCACCGAGTCAGAAGGAGCTGCATTTACATATTGTCACCATTCTTATTGTCTGACCTTAGGTCAGTTATTAAACCTCTTTCAGCTTGTTTTCTCCCCTGTTAAAATGGAACTAACAGTGGTTTTCAGCTGGGGACAATTTTAGAAAGACATTTTTTTGTAGTCATGATTTGGGAGGAGGCGAGTTATTGGCATCTAGTAGGTAGGAGCCAGGGGTGCTGCTAAGCATCTTATGCACAAGACAGCCCCCCCACAACAAAGAATTGTCTGGCCCAAATGTCAGTAGTGCCGATGATGAGAAACCTCAGACTAACAGAAGCTGCCTGAGAGTTTGATGTGAGATAAAGTGATGTAATGTGTGTGAAAGCACCTGACATACAGTATTTTACTTGACTCACTCATAGTAATGGTTATTATGCTAAACCAGAAGGGTCAGTAATATGGAGGGAAAAGTGGGATTGAAACTCAAATAATAAGTGTTTCTGTATAAAGTTGCCATTCTCCTTTCTCCACTCTCAAAGCCCCCAGACCCTCAAAATGACTAGGTTTTCTGAGCTGAGCGAGAAGCTCCCTCACCACCCCAGGGACAACTTGTGGTGTCAGCCCCCTTCTCTCTGTATCAGGTAACTTTGGAAACATGTTGCCCAACATTTACCAATAAACACCTGAAGGACATTTGATTAGGAGAATTTACTCTCTTTTAGAGTGTAAAGCTTTGTGATTTTTTTTAAAAAAAGGAAATTTAAGAACTAAACAAAAATAGATTTCTAGCAAAAGTGCATTTATTTCTAATCCTTCCATCACTTCTTTGTACGCTATGTAATTCTAAGGAAGACATGACCCTTCCCAAAACCTAGCAGAAGACCCACAACCTTGGCATGAACCTTTAAAACAGTAACAGTGACTCCAAGAGAACTATTGAGAGTGAAAAAAGGAATGGTGAAGTTCTTCACAAACATATTATTCCCACTAGGTCTAAATAGAAAAGATATGGAGGGAAGCTTATGTAGAATATCACACACAAATAAGTGTGGTCAGGGTTGTCCTGTGTTGCAATTTCATTAAACCATATGAAAAATGGAACTGGAGTGCTTCCAGGCTTTATTTCTTCACTTCCTAGGATTTTATTATGTTACTTTAATAATCAGAAGAATTTACTGTCCTGCCAGCCTTATTTGGCCTAGCTAGCTCTCCCTTTTGCTCTGACTTCTCTACTAATCCTTTGTTTTATTATGTTATTAATGTTTTTCAAGTTGCCTCAGATCTTTTTTGAAATAACACAAATTTGCCCCAAATGAATAAAGAAAAAACCCGAGTGTACCTTGACATCAAAGATAAGAATAGTTCTCTGAGAACTTAGAGAGGTGAAGAAGACAGAAACCATGAACATAGATTTTTTAAAGATATGGCCTGAGCAAACATGTGCACACACCTTCCCACCCCAGGCCTAGTTTGTATCCATGGTTTGTATTTGTACATGTGTTAATCATATTATAGTGAACTTTAAAAAATACAACTAGTATTGAAACATCAGACATATTCTTTATATGCCTTTTGTATGTTTTATGTATATATTTTATATACACATATATATAATTAGAACTATAATAATATAATACATATACATATCATGTATATGTAATATATATAAATCAGTTTTTGGGTAACAGTGTACTTTCTGGATGTCAGATCTTTGAGACTCATTAGAACTGAAAAGAACCTTAAAGATCATTTATTTCAATTACCTTATTTTACAGATAAGGAAACTGACCTTCAAAGTAAAGAAGTGATTTATCCAAGGTTATACAGTTGAGTAGTGACAGAGCCAAGACTAAGGCCAAGCTCTTTCTCATCACCCTGTCAGCATCAGGTCCTGTGTACCATTTCCAAGGTGACTGTTTGCTAGTCAGATACCTGGAATCAAGTTAATTTTGTTAATAGGACTCTCCATAGGAAACCCCTGGCTTTCGTCTCTCTCCAGGTTGACATCTGCAAGCCTCGCACCTGACTCTCAGAGTTGTTGCTGTTATTATTATTACACTTGTAAGGTACTCTGCTGTGCCCAAGTCCTTTCACATTTGCTATTCCTTTGATAGCAAATGAATCACAGAGCAAAAAACCCTGCAAAAACAGAGCAACCATTATTCCCATTTTTCAAATGAAGACACTAGCACTCAGAGCAATACCTGGCTTATTCAAGATCACACAGTTAGAGAGCAGAGTCTGGACTGTAATTCAAGTCTTAAACTCTCAAGCCAAGATCTTCGTTGATCTAATTTTAAATCTAGTTTTATTCAATCTAGTTTTTATTGCCAAGAGGTGGTATAGCATAGTGCTTAAGAGTGCTGGCCCTGGGTTTAATCCCAGTTCTGCCACTTGTTTTTTTTATATGACTTTGGGGGAAATTACTTAACTTTAATATGCTTCAGTTTCCTCATCTATAGAATGTGGTGGTAGTAGTAACCTAATTGAGATGCATTACAAGAAGTAGGGCATATTAAGCAAGGTACTTAATCTCATATTTTCTTATTATAAATCCTCTGATAAATTGGATTTTTATGTTATTCATTAGAGGCTATTGGTAAATGAAGTTGAAAGAGTGTCTTATACAGATATTAGATTATATAAAAGTAAATACATTTTGATGTGCTTGAAAGAAAGATTTTCATAAAAGTTAGTGTTTGTCTGACTTTCCGAGCCAAAAGTACTGTGATGTTCAGGACAGCAGCTATATAAATACTTGGGCTAATAGGGGAGATTCCACCTACAGCAGTACTTCAAGTATGAAGAGGTTTGATGGTGTAGGTGCCTGGCTGGTCCAGTCGGTAGAGCGTGTGACTCTGGATCTCAGGGTTGGAGTTCGAGCCCCACATTGACTGTAGGGTATACTTAAAAAAAATGATTGATGGAGAATGCCTTTGGGTTCAGACAGTTTGGGAGGTATGCCATGCTCTGGAAGCCTCTATCACGCCAGCCTCAGCTCTGGCCCCTATTACAGAAAAGGGCTGCACCACATCTGGCCCATTCTTTAGGGTGTGCATTTGGGTTTTCAGAAATGTTCTCTGATTATGTAAGAGCAGAGGTAATTTTTTCCCAAATGAAAGTTAGGTTAGGCCTCTTTGTCACTACCTGTTATCTGTCTAGCAGCTGTTTATGGGCCACCTACTCTGTGATAGGCAGAGTACCATTTGCTGGTGGAACGGAGATGAATTGTAGTCACCCTTTGAGGGCAAAATTGTCTCAGGAGCAGAGGGAAATGGGCAAAGTAGAGCCAGTCTAGCTGACTAGAATGCTTTATGAGATTCTGAAAAGCCACTTGCCTTTAACTATATCTACTGATGATAAGCATCACTTTTTCTAGGTTAGGACATATGTTTACTGCTAAAATGCACTCTGCTAAATGCATATATCTCATCTGGGATATTAGCTGTGAAGTTACTCATCAGTTAGTAGGTATTCATTTAATGGCAGAGTAGAGTCCTTAGTGGAAGGTAAATTTCTACAAAAGAGTGAGGGGCAGAGGTCCCCAGCTTCTCATCACATGTGACAAAAGTAACTATCAGAAAGGTTACTAGTGACCTAAGCACTATGTCCATCTTCTCCCTTGGGGTCAAACTTGTTTCCCAAACTTGGTAACATTGGTTGAATCCTGCTTTCTTTCCTTCCTTATTGCCCAAGTAATATGTTCTTGGGCAATTCACTTGACCTGTTGGAGGTTCAGTTCCCTCTACTGTAAAATAGAGATAAAATACCTTCCACTCTGGATTGTTGAGATGATAGACAAAGGTATAGCACCAGGTAGAATGCATGGCCCATTGCAGGTACTCAGGGAATGGTAGCTCTTTCTACTATCCTTCTATTCAGAGAACATATTGGTGAATGTTAAGCTCTCCTCATTGTTATGATTGTCTGACCTTCCAGGCCATTGAAAACTTTGCCATGACATTGAAGACCACTGCCCAGATGCTCCAGATGTTTGGGGTCTGCCTAGCCACAACAGAGCTACCCAGAGGCGTGCTGTCCACTGAAGACCTCCTCATGTCCCACACGAGGCAGCGGGACAAGCTCCAGGTGAGTAGTCAGTGGCCTCTCACAGGCCAGCTTCTTGGAGGGAGCTAGGAGAAGAATTAGAAGTTAAGCCCCCTTCTTCCTCCTTCTCCAGTGACTTGGCAGTGACTGATCATCTTAAACCTTCTAGATAGGCAGTATGTGAAGAGAAAAAAACCTCTTGAGACTGGTCCGTGAATGTAAGAGGATTGTAATTAAGACCTGTGAGAAGCAGCCCCATAAAGGGAGACTCATTCTACCTTTGTGCTCTAAGAGAGGTGTTTGAGCATTGTTTCAAGGGCAGCACTCCTATGATCTGCTCAGGACAGAGCAAGATATAATGGATAAAACTGCAGTGAGGGGTGGGAGTTGGGGTTTGAGGCAGAAGCTTTCCTGAGGCTCTTGTGAAGTTTTGGGGCAAACTAATAAGCTGACATATTGCTTCACCTTCTCAGGGATATATCTTTTTATTTGGGGAGTAATTTGAGAAAGAAGACATGGAAAGTGCTCTGAACTGGCTTTAAGGAGAGGCACCTATTAACTTCATAAAAGCATGTCAGAACCTGCTAAGAACGGAGGTTGGCAGATTCTTTCAGATCATGCAGTAAAGGGAAGACTTCCTGGGGCTTACAGGATGGGCGTCAGCTCTTTTCTGCCTCCAGAAGCACAAATGGACCATATCCATTATTTCACAGAAGACCAGAACTCCATAGGGCAGCAAGCTGAGGATTAGAAGATGGATAAATCTTAGCATGACATGTATTCTTGCTGCACAGAGCTTGGCAGGAGCTGACCTCTTTTATCTGTGGCCCCAAATTTACAAAAATTCTTTGCTAGGTGGTTGATTTGTTCATTTAGTCAACATTTATTGATGACCTACCCCTACATGCCAGGAAAACAAATGAAAAAAATGTAAACTCAAGGAACACATAGTTGAGTTAGGGGAGTCCCAGAGTCTAGTAGTTAAGGCAAATTAATTTTTGCATGTGTCAGGGAGCACTGTTAAATTCTCTTCTTAAGGAGCTTGATATCCAAAAAGAGTTCAAAATGTACTTTCTACACTACTCTGCATAATTAAAAGATCTGGTTTGAAACTGGGAAAACCTGAAAGCATCCTAGAAATTTTCCTGGGAAATGTCTCTGACGAGCTTGACAGACACATACAACTTAGCACACCTGTCTTTTTTTTTTTTTCATTATGTTACCACCATACAGTACATCATTAGGTTTTTGACGTAGTGTTCCATGATACCTTGTTAGCACAGCCATCTTGTTCCTGTGTATGCTTCTTACACATGGATGGAGACTCAGAGAACATCTTCAGAACATGTGCATGCAGGTGTCCCAGGGTCTTCTGCATATTGGATCCTTCTCCAAGAAGAGCTTCCATTTCCTGAGGAAAAGTAACTTTGACAGGCTATAGGCCATCTCTCGGTTTACAAACAGTATGGTGGCATGCACCCTGCTGCCACTAGGACCCTGTCTGCACAAGGAGGAAATTCATGGAAACTCCCTCGGACTTCTGTAGATTTTCCCAGAAGCCGGTCCCTGAACTCCTCCTGTAGCTTGAGTGCTGACAGTAAAAAAATTAAATACCCAAAAGTGATGAAATGTGTTTTCTCTTTGTGGGAACAAAAACCTGCTTAAGCTCTTTGGGCCGTGTGACAACTAGATATCCATGAGGAAAAGAAGGAAATTGGATCCTCACCTCACATCCTATACAAAAATTAACTCAAAATTGATCAAGGGACTAAATGTAAATCCTGAAACTATAAAACTCTTAGGAGAAAATATAGATGTAAATTTTCATGACCTTACATCAGGCAATGGTTTCTTAGATTTAATAACGCCAAAAGCACAAACACCTAGAGAAAATAAATAAACTGGACATCATCAAAATTAAGAACTTTTGTGCTTCAAAAGCCACTATCAAGAAGGTGAAAAGACAACCCACAGAATGGGGGGAAATATCTACACATCATGTATCTGATGATATTCTAGTATCCAGAATATAGAAACAACTCTTACAACTCAACCTTTGTAAAAAGACAACCCAATTGAAAAATGGGCAAAGGATTTGAACAGACATATCTTCACAGAAGATACATAAATGGTTATTAAGCACATGAAGACATGTACAACATCATTAGTCATTAGGGAAATGCAAATCAAAACCGTAGTGATATACCCACTAGAGTGGCTCTAATTAGAAAGATGGACAATAACAACTGTTGGTGAGGATGTGAGGAAATTGGAACCCTCAGACATTGCTTGTGGGAATGTAAACTGTCTGGTAGGCCCTCAAAAGGTTAAACATAGAGTTACCATATGACCCAGAAATGCTACTTCTATGTGTATGCACAAGAGATTTGAAAACATACGTTTCATATAAAAAGTTACACATAAATGTTTGTAGCAGTATTATTCATGACATCCAAAAAGTGGAAACAACCCACATGTCCATCAGCTGATGAATGGATAAACAAAATGTGGTATAGCCATACAATGGAATATTACTCAGCCATAGAAAGGAAATACTGATTGAATCATGCTGTAATATGTATGAACTTTGAAATAATTATGCAGAGCGAAAGAAGCAGACACAAAAAACCACATATTGTGTGAATCCACTTACATGAAATGTCCAGAGTAGGTAAACTTAGAGTGAAAGTAGGGAGATGAGTGGTTGCCAGGGGCTGGGAAGAGGGAGAAATGGAGAGTGATGGATAATAGGGGTGGGGTTTCTTTTTGACAGTGATAAAAATGTTCCGGGGAGGGGGAAATCATGAAATCGTATGCATTAAAAAGGTGAATTTTATGGTACTATATGAGCTATATCACAATTTTTTAAAAAAGAAAAAGACCTTTGGGCCTAACACAACAATAAAATAGCCATGAAGCCTATAGAGATATGTGCTTTTCTTACTGTTTATGATGGTCCTACGGACTCTTTTTCATAGCAAAACAGCTCTTCCCATTGTCTAATTCCGAGCTGGTTTTTGGGAGCAGTTTATAGAGGCAGGCAGTCTCTCTCTTGAATCCCAAAGGAGGTGGTTATCTACTCTTTGCCACTTTTATTTAGGCCAGAAACCCCAGGGTCTTGGCCTTTGGCTCTCAGATCCTTAAGTCAAATGAGACACTTTACCATGTGTTCATTTAAATAGGGTAAGACTCTCATATTTTGTTGTTGTTAAAATAAGAAATCTAACAGAGCCAAAGGCCTTTCTCTCATCATGCAGGAGGAAAGTGCCAGTGGGTCCTCTGATTATGTGATAAAGCACTCTTATAAATATGAATACTGTTTAGTATTCAGTATTTGTTCCAGTCAGTATTTATTCAATTTTGTATTCAGAGATGATAGTTCTATCAGTATTTCCAGGGTTACAAATAATCAAGAAGATAATCAGAATTACAAGTTATTTTTTTGTAGGCCCTAGAAATAATTTTTTTTTAAGATTTTATTTATTCATTTGAGACACAGAGATACAGAGAGAGAGAGAGAAAGAAAGCATGAGCAGGGAGAGAGGCAGAGGGAGAGGGAGAAGCAGGCTCCCCGCTGAGCCAGGAGCCCGATGTGGGGCTCGATCCCAGGACCCTGGGATCATGACCTGAGCTGAAGGCAGACGCTTAACCATCTGAGCCACCCAGGCGCCCACATAGAAATAGTTTTATAGTCATAGGAGTTTTTAGAGACCCCCTTTGTTCAAACTCTACCTGTGGGGAATGTAAGTTAGGAATGGATAGACACGGAGGTCTTGATTTTTTTTTCTTTTTTTAAAGATTTTATTTATTTATTTGACAGAGAGAGAGACAGCGAGAGCAGGAACACAAGCAGGGGGAGTGGGAGAGGGAGAAGCAGGCTTCCCGCTGAGCAGGGAGCCCGATGTGGGACTCGATCCCAGGACCCTGGGATCATGACCTGAGCCGAAGGCAGCCGCTTAACGACTGAGCCACCCAGGCGCCCACGGAGGTCTTGATTTTGCACAGGAAGACAAACTTGGTATTCTTATGGATGCTTTTGGTGTCAATACCTTAACAAATGAGCATGTTGCACTAATTTTATACCACAGGAAGGTTTCTCTCAATAGCTGCCGAGGAAAGAGGTATCTCATCTCTTTTAGGGACTTCTTTTTTCTCAGTTATGAAGACTTGCATTTTAAAGGATAGATTCTAGAATTCATTAGTCAGCATTATGCACAGAAGCACGCAGAGCTAACTTGTAGTGGCAGAAATGGAGCTAAGTAATAAAAGTGAAGTGAGGGGTCTAAAACGTTAGTCATTCTTACAATCTCTGGGCTCTGATTCATCCTTTAACTTCCTATCTCACCTCCACCACCAGCCCATGACACGGCTGAACACAGCACCTGGCATGGATAGTCGTGCTTTATAAATGTATTTTCAGTGAATGAATGAATGTCTAGATTCATGCTTACTGTTGTCATAGGAAAGAATTCCCCCCAGAAAATTTAAGTTCTTTTGAGCCTGAAGCAATCTGCTTGCCCTATTAAGTGGGTCTTCCGAACCAACGGCTTGTTTCCATAATAATGGAACTGTAATGAGTACACACTGGGACAGCCATACCAGTTGTTAAATATTTATGTTCTTGAGTGTCTGACTTTACCTCCCTGGCCCGTTTCCGAGGACCCATGAGGCCTCAGGATTGCAGCCACTAAAGTGGGTAACACGTGGACCACAGTTGGCCTCAGGACTGCTTCAGCATTGTATCTGACAACTGTGCTGATTGGTCCGTGCCTGCTCTAAACAGTTCTTAAATATTCTGAATTGTTACCACTGTGGACAAGGGCACACTCCACTTTTGGCCTGGGCAACTTATCTTTTCACTTTCCAAGTACCATAGTTCCTCAATCTTTCCCTGTGTATCTGTGGCAGATTTTTATAACCCTGCTGAAGCTGACCACATATGGCCTAGTCCCAAAGCAGTAACCAGTCATGATTTTTCCTTGTATTTTTTGATAGCGTGAAGGGGACACACAGTGAATGAGACCACGTACTCAGGTCCACCTTCCCTCTCTCACACATTTCCTCACACTCTGCAGTTCTTTGGGTATACCTCTCTTCTGAGCTTCCCCTTCCAAAAGTCTTCTGCCCTAGCAATACTCGTCTTGTTCTCTGGCCCTTCCACCCTTCCTCCCAACTCTACATCATACACACACTAAATAGATATAAAATCTAATAATGGTAATGCCAGAGTCCAACTGGAATGCTGGAATCTCAAGGACATCTAAGAAACTGAGTGAGAAAAGCCAAGACCTTTTTTAGAAGGTAGGAAGAATGCAAGGTAAGAGTACTTGCTAATGAGTGCTTCGCCCCTTCCCCCCATCATATCCTATTTGTCCTTGTTCATCAGCCTAATTTCTTTTAGACTATTATTAATTCACCCAACCTACAAATATTTCATGAGCATTGGTGAGATAAGAAGAAATGAGGGTTGATACCTGAGAGTGGAAAAGAAGGGATGTATCCAGTTCCCAGGCAGGAGTACCAGCCAAGAGGCTGACTGCAGGGCATTACCTGGAGAGGACAGAGCCACAGGGGGTGTCCAAAGAACTTGGGCCAGATCAGAGAAGTCAAATTTATCATCAACCAAATCCGGGGACAAGTTTGAGGCTGGGTGTGGACAGCGGAAGCCTGCAAGTGGATGAATATTGGAACTAGCAAGATGGGAGATAAGGAACAAAGGCGTGAGGGTGAGCGGGCCAGAACATGTGTGTGAACAGGGTGGAGAAACCCAAAACTCCTCCGACAGGGAATGAGCTCCATACTGTGAGAAGGCTGGAGGTGGCCAGGCCCCAAGGAGAGATTCAGGCTTCATGTGCATAGAGGGTATTGTTTTGTAACCATGGGCCTATTCTAATGCTTAGGGCATACTAACCAGCATCCTGTGTGACCCATGCACCAAATCCCCGACTCCTTGGAGCAGAATTCCCTGCCAGGCTCCACCCCTTTAGCTTATTTTGTAGTTCTCACTCAGGGCATTGGGAGAGATGACTTGTGCTGTGTGATTAGAGGTCTTGAGCTGGTGGATTTGGCAGGAGATAACCTGACATCTTCTCCAATTGCAAACCCCACATCCCATGTAAAAGGAGGGGAATAGAATTGCCTTGGAAGTATGACTCTTTCCATGTCAAACCGAAGTTGCTGACCATCTCCGCCAAACTTCCATAATTGAACAAGCCACACTTTACGGGCAGATAGAAGGAGAGGCAGGTGTCAACTGAGACCAGATGAAGTTTTTTTCCTGGTCAACTAGCAACTATTACATTATTATTACATGCCAGTTTCTAGCAGTTATTATTCAGTATCTGTCATTTTCTTGTTTCTGGTCACTGCCCTGGATTAGAACCAGATTTTATTAATTTGTTAATAAATTTAAAATTATTAATTATTAAGCAATTAACATAAATAATTAATAATTAAAAATTATTGATTTATTGCTTTTGCTTTAAATATATAACAGCAGTTTGAGGTATAAAATTCAACAGTTGTTGCTTTAGAGAGGAAAAGTGGATGGGCAGGGGACAAAAGACTTATTTTTTCCAATATATATCCTTTTGTATATTTTGGGTTTTGTATCATGTGTATGTATTACCTGCTAAAAATAAGTTAATAATCATATGATCTAATAATACCACTTCTGGGCATTTACCCAAAGAAGACAAAAACACTAATTCGAAAAGGTATATGCACCCCTACGTTTATTGCAGCATTATTTACAATAGCCAGATTATGGAAGCAGCCCAAGTGTCCATTGATAGATGAATAGATAAAGAAGATGTGGTGTATATATACAATGGAATCAGCCATAAAAAGGAATAACATGGATGGATCTAGAGGGTATACTGCTAAGAGAAATAAGTCAGTCAGAGAAAGACAAATACCATATGATTTCATTTATGTGTGGAATTTAAGAAAACAAAGAAAAAAAGAGACAAACCAAAAAACCGACTCTTAACTACAGAGAACAAACAGCTGGTTACCTGAGGGGAGGTGGGTGAAGGGATGGGAGAAATAGGTGATGGGGATCAAGAGTACACTTACCATCATGAGCACTGAGTAATATATTAGAACTGTTGAATCACTGGATTGTACACTTGAAACTAATATAACACTTTATGTTAACTACACTGGAATTAAAATAAAAAAAAACAAAAATAAAGGAGTTAATTAATTTTTAAAAGCTGCAGCTTGACTTCTTTAGCATTTAATTTCCTATAAGAAAGATACAGCTTGATCTGCCATTCTTCTCACTGCAAATCCCACCAAGAATTTGCTTTTGTTCATTTCTTTTGAGACAAACTATATTTTCCTTTCTCTAGGATGAGCTGAAATTACTTGGAAAGCAAGGGACCACATTACTGTCATGTATTCAAGAAACAGCAACCAAAAGTCCTACCAGCAAACTCAATCCCAATGAACTAGAGAATGTAGCTACCATGGAAAGGTGAGTGAGAGAGGGGGGAATATGTAGAACTCGATCTGAAACAGCCAAGAACAATTGGTACAGCTACTCCTGGGTCTTGGTGGAGTCAAGAAAGAATAGTATTTGAGAAAACAAAGGCAAAAAGATGGTATCTACCGACAGAGATGTTTTTATGAGAATGCTATTCCCTCCTTTTGTGCTATGCTCTCATCCCAGGATTTCAAGGGAGATGGTAGTACATATTTATCTATATTTCCAAATAACAGTTTGGTTAGGTGCTGTGCTTTACACACCTGTCATCTCAGGTAGAAAACAAAAGGCACAAAGTTAAGGTTACCTGGGGGCACATTGCAAAGCACAGCAGCTGCATCCGAAGTGAAGTTTCTGCCTAGTGCTGAGGGTGTCCTGATAAAAAAATGGAAAATTTTTCCATTTCCAGCTGAACTGTGAGAAAGTCATAGGTGACAGAGACTTGCATAAAAAGGAGATTCCCGTAGTTCTTAACACTGACTGGAAACATAGGGGTTATCTACATAAGCCTACATGGACTCCTGTGGAAATGAACACTAACCACAATGTCACTCTCTCTTTCTTGACAGGTTATTACTTCAGTTGGATGAGACAGAAAAAGCCTTTAATCAGTTTTGGTCTGAGCATCACTTGAAGCTTAACCAATGCCTACAACTACAACACTTTGAGCACAATTTTTATGAGGTGTTACTTTCTTGTTGAATAGAGCTTTCTTTCATGGTTTGGTGACTTCTGGTTCTCTCTTCTCCCTTGAACTCTGGATATTGAGTGTCCCTCTTCTCCCTAATCCAGCCCCCTCCTTATATCCTTGCTTCCTCATTGATTATTCTCTTCTCCCTTTTTCAGTGGGGTAGCAGTATTCTAGCATCCCATTTTCCTGTTGGCATACATGATATTTCATGTATGTTTTATCTTCCTTTTTGACTGATAATCTGTGAATGTAGCTATACTCTTTCATCTCTGTGTGTCTCGGCACCATAATCCTCTCCACCCCTGCCCTGAGCTTAATCTAAACGCTTATGAGCTGTAAAAAGAAAATGTATATATAGATACACAAAAGTCCTGAATCCTTTTTGGATTTTCAAGTTTTCTTAGAGTATACAAACCTATATCTCCAGAGAGGTGCTCAGGGCTTATTTCTGGATGTTCTAATGTGTCTTACAGGTTAAGCTTGCCCTGAACAATTTGCTGGCAGAGCAAGTAGAGTTTACAGACATTGGAGACAGTGTGATACGCGTGGAGCAACTTCTTAAGGAACATAAAAACCTGGAAGGAAAAGGCGAGGTTTGTTTTTTGCTGTTTTTATGGACTGGGAAGGAAGTTGCTGTGTACAGTGACAGATCATGTCCACTCATTATTGTTGGAAGTTGCTAAAGGACACAGGAATGCCCAAATCCTGCCTTTTCAGTCCCCACTGCCACCCCAGGTGGGGTGAGGGTTCCGGTTGACTTGCCTGCCCATACAAAAGCAGCGGGAGGAAAGGTCACAATGACACATTATTGACCAGCAGGATGTGGGGGGTGGGAGTTGGTGGTAAGGAGGGGAAATGTGAAAAGGGGAAACCAGAAAAAAATACCAGCTGGTTTTATAACAAGCAGAATGGTGCAAAGGGGGAAATGGGTCCATATTAGTTCTGCTGCTACACAGAGTTGGCAAAGCTTTCTCCTTTCTCATGCCCCAAGAGTTGTCAATATCAAACTTGTAAAAGAATACGTGTTTCACAATTCTCATACCAGAATTAGACAGTTTCCCAGATCTGCACACAAGTCAGCAGGTAGCAGTGATTCTATTTTAAGTCCTTATCAATTTGGGTTATTATGAATTAAGAAAGCCGAGTCCTCTCTTTCTAGAGAAGTTCCTTTTTGCTATTCTCAAATTAGATTCTCTATATTTTTGTCTTTTGGGCACCGTGTCTTTGATGATTAGCACTTCCTCTCTGAGCTATCTAAATGCATGTTTCCCACATGGTAATTTTATAGTATTAGAGATTTGCTTCTCAAAGTGTGATCCTCTGACCAGTGCATAGATGTCACCCGAGTGAGAACTTGTTAGAAATATGGAATCTCACGACCCCCCCAGAATTAGAATCTGAATTTTAATAAGATCCCCAGATGATTGACATGTACTTTATAGTTAGAGACATACCTTCCCCTCCCCAAAGGACAAGTAACAAATGTAAACCAGGTTCACTCTGACCCTAAGAGGTATCAGTTGTAGATTCTGAACTGGAGGTGCTTTTACACGTGCGTGAACACACAAACCCACCTGTGCACCCAGACTCTCACTCAAGAATCCCATCCTCCCCTATGAGCACTCCCTGTTACCAGTGATCATTTGACAACTAAACATTTTAGTACTATAGGCATGAGTAAACAAACATTTATCAAACAATAAAAAAAATTGAATTTCATGTACCTGATGACTATGTGTCTCAGATTCTCTAAGACAGTCCCAATTTTACATAATTTTAGTTTTTTTTCAAGAGAACTCCTTATGAAATGTAGATACTATGTATTTTCACTTGCATACATTCATATATTAGGAAAAAAAGCCTCATCAAGCCCAGTCCTTATATTTTGGGTTTGGAAAAATATGGCCATGGCATATATATGAATGAAAGTAGCTACTGACCTGCCAGGAAGGCATTCATTCATCACCAGGTATTCCTTGTCCTAGGTTCTGTGGATATGGTGGCAAACCAGTCAAGACCCTGCTCTCATAGAGTTTACATTCTACTGGAGAGAGAGATGACTAAAAAGTAATCAAATAGATAGTAATATCAGATACATGTGGTATGAAGAAAACAGGATGTAAGAGAGAGTGACTTGGGGTGCTACTTCAGCTCAGGTAGTCAGGAAAGATCTCTCTGAGAAGGTGACCTTTGATCTGAGCTCTGGATAGCCATGCAATGATTTGGGGAATAGCATACAATGCAGAGAAGCCTCAAGTGTAAAACTTTTGAGGCAGGAATGAGGTTGGTGAGTTCAAAGAATGTTGCCTGAAACATAGTGAGTCAGGAAGGAACAAGGTGGGAGCAATGGTGGTGAGGACTGGATTTTATTTTCAGTGGAACCTACTGGGGGGTAGTCTGGGTTGGGTTTTAAATAGTATGACTGAGGGGCGCCTGGGTGGCTCAGTCCATTAAGTGTCCAACTCTTGGTTTCAGCTCAGGTCATGATCTCAGGGTCATGCGATCCAGCCCCATGTTGGGCTCTGCACTCAGTGCAGAGTCTGCTTGAGATTCTCTCTTCCTCTCCTTCTGCCCCTCCCCACTCTTGCACATGTGTGCTCTCTCTCTTCCAAATAAATGAATACTTAAAAAAAAAAAAACAGTATGGCTGATCTGCATCCACTTTCTCTCTTCTGCCCCTCTTCTTGGACTTGAGATCTTTGGAACATACTTTAAAGATTGCTGACCAGAGCTAGGGGAGAAACCTATGGTCATGGGACATAGGAATGCTTTGTGAACCCATGATTGATCTTTCACAGCCAAAGTACCAGAACCAGGTAGACTGACTCACAACAGATGACCTGCAGAGCCCAGGTATATTAGTTTTACCCATTCTGTGCCTTGTTTACCCTGTTGTTTTTTTTTACTTATTTTCTAAAGGATGCAGTAGACCTATTTCTCTGCCTTTAGATGAACCAAACAAAACTATCCTATCATAACCAGGACCTTTTTAACATGTTTTCCCACAGATTTCTAAAAGAGAGTGTTTCTTCAGATGATTTTAAAGGCTTGGCTAATCTTTCCATTTGTCCTGTAAAGTGTTAAAGGAATAAGGTGATGTCTGTCTAGAGTCCACCAAAACCTGCATAGGTTTGTCCTTCACTCAGCACTCAGGGGTCAGCTTCCCTCCTGGCATAGCCACTCACTGATATCTGGGTTGTTGCCAACTTCCTTATTCTGTATAATGATATCATCCTCATGGGTAACCTCTGAGCCAACTCACTAACCAGACGTCTGCTGCATCCTAATTGAGCCTGTTCTTTTATCTTTTTCTGGTTTGATGGTTTAGCAATTTTTTTTTTTTTTTTAAGAGAGGGAGAGAGAATCTCAAGCAGGCTCCACTCCCAGTGTGGAGCCCCACCCACGGCTTGATCCCACAACCCCAAGATCATGATGATCTGAGCTAAAATCAAGAGTTGGATGCTCAATGAGCCACCCAGGCGCCGCTGGTTTAACAATCTTTTGAAAGGTCATTTCTAATTCTGAGAGACAATGGTGGTTTCAACCCCCACTCTTACCTCTTTTTAAGGTAGAATTTGCTGTAGGGTTTTGGCTATAAGGCATGCTGGGGCCCTTGGTGATGGGTCAGCAGAGAGCAGACAAGGACCGGGCAAGGGAACCAACCTGATTTTAATCTTGACCTCTCCCCACAAGACCAAGGGCCCAGCAGTTATGTACATGTCCAGGAAGGCTTGGAACCCAGATCATTAACCTCCTAGGGATGTAATCTAGCTGGAGGGGCATGACTTTTTTTTTTAATGGAAAATTTCAGACACATGCAAAAGTACATCAACTAGTACAGTGAACTCCCATGTGTATGCTCAGTTTCCACAACCCTTAACTTTCTGCCTTTCTTGTTTCATCTGGCCCCACTTCCCCACATGTACATTTCATTCCTATGCCATTATTTGTGGGTTCATTCTGGGTTCCCTGACATAGAGCATCACCCTTTCTCATCATTTTCTTTCACAGCAGACATTTTCATCTTTCATATGTCATAGCAGTAGATTCTGGGGAAAAATAAGCTGTTATTACACTAGGGATTTCTGAATTATGTGTTGCAGCTTGACTATCTAGCCTTCTAGAATTTTCAGTATCTGAAAGATGCCAGGATGGCTTATGATCAGAGCACCAGATTTCAGCCATTTCTTTCTCATTACTTCTCTTTGACTTTGGTGGTTTTGTCACCTGGTTTTCTTTAGCAGAAGCTATATAGATTAAGAAATAAGTTGTGATTTGGAGGTTTTATGGTAAAGTTCTTTGCAGGCGCCTGAAGGATGTGATAGTCATGGGCTCTTCAGCCATCATTTATAGCATATACGAGGAGGCCAAGGGGACTGGAATGTGACAAGACACCAGTTTTGGAGCCAGACAGAACTGGATTCAAATCTCCGCTCTAACAACTACCAGCTGTGTGCCCTTAGTCAAGTCTCTTAGCCTTTCTGAACAACCCTCATCTGTAAAACTGATAATAACCATTGCCTATTCCTTGTGAAGATGAAATGAGGTAAAGGCTTCGTAAGGACTGGAGTGTAGTAGGTGGTCAGAACCTGGAAGCTCTTATTGGTACCCATTCATTTCAGTTGAGTGACCTTCCCGCCATCCAGTGTGGCTCCTGAGTCACTGCTCACCCCTCCTCCAATATCTCAGTGTTTAAGAAGTTCTGAAGGGTGAGATGCTGCACGCCAAGCAAAGGGCAGGCTGTCATCACCACGAGGTGCTTGGAAAATATTCTGGGGGGGAAGTTCCCTGGGCCCAGAAAACTTGTCCTGTTCTTAGTAAATTCACAGCTGGACTTAAAAAAAAAAAAAAGTCAACAGACTTCCTTGCCAAGTTTTCATGCTTCTATATTTGGCTAGAATCAGACAGGTTTGATCAAATGAGGTCCCTAAGCTTAGGCGGAACGAATGCAGCCATTTTTCTCTGTGTTTGTTGGTCAGAACCAGATTCCGGAGCCAGACTTCCTGACTTTGAAGCCTGGCTCTTCCCTTTCCTACCTGGGTCACTTTGGGCCATTTTTGCCTCTACTTCTCCTTTGTTAAATGGGGCCTATGTCAAAGGGTTTGTTGCAAGGAGTAAAAAGAAACAGTTAATTTAAGCATGGCATATAGAAGGCTCTCTGAATATCAGCTGTTGTCACAGAGGTAACGGGGCAAATTCTGTGCTACGGAATGTTTCTTAGGTTCAACCTGCAGTGGCCGAGCAGTTCTGGTAAGAGCGTCTCATCCATTCTTCATTCATTTTGCAAGTATTTGTTGATCTCCTACTATGCCAAGTCCTGTTCTAGGTTATGTGGACACAGCAGTGAGGAAAACAGTTAAAAATCACCGCCTGAGGAATTAGCATTCTAGCCTTTTCTCAGGGATGGCAACCAGTGCATTATGCACTGGGTATTTATCCCTGAGTTCCTTTAAAATAGCCATTGCTTGACTTGTGTCACTTTATTCTTGTATCATTACTCAGTTTTGTTTTGCACAACAATCATTTATTCTTTAGTACCTAATTTGTACCATGGACGTCTTAAGTTGCGTAAGAGCTGGTGCATGCTCACAAGGGTCCGCAGCATAGTGCGGGCAATAGATCAGTGATCACAATACAGCAAAGTACCTGCTCTGATCAAGAAAGGGCACAGAGCGTTATGGGAGCACAGAGGAGGGGCATCAAAATAAAATGGTGGAGTTGAGGAAGTTTCCTGGAGAGAATGCACTCTGGAAGGTGATGTAGAAGTTAGCTCCAGAAGAGTGTAGGTGCATCAGGAGGTGGGGGATGGAGACGTGGGAGTGGGGGTGGCCAGGGAAAGATGGGGTTTTCTAGGCAGAGGGAGCAAGTAGAGAAGCCATGGAGGCCCCAAGCTGCCTGAATATTTGGAGAGCTATTAACAGGTCGTTAGTTGGGTTTATAGCAGAGGATGGGGGTGAGGAAAGGGGAGGCGGAATAGGCACAGATATGAGCCAGGTAACGAAAGGCCCTCTGTGCATTGCTCAGGAGTTTGAACTTTTCTCCTGAAGACCGTGGGGAGCTGGGGAAGGATTTGAGGCTGGGGAATGATGTAGACATGATGGGATGCTGTAAGGGAGGTGCTGCTTCGTCAGTAGTATGGAGCATGATTTGAAGGAGAGCCTGAAGGAAAGCAAAGAGACCAGCTGTCCTGGTCAGAAAACACGGAGGCCAGAATAGACCTCCCAGGAGGTGGTGGAGGAGAGGGTTCAGAATTTGAAAGTTGTTAAGGATGTGGGCTCTGCAGGGTTTGGTGAATGACTGGCCGAGGAGGGGAGGGGGGGGCAGTGTTTTAGAGATTGTTGAAACCATAAACCCCTGTAATTTAAGAGAGGGGCAGGATGTCATCACCTTGAGTCATCATAACTCCTTGTGTTACTGTAAAAAGTTAAACCAGGGCAAATGTGTCTCACTGGGATGTGCAATTGTCAGCAAGGGTGCACATGGAAGTCATCTGTATTCACTCACAGGTCAATGTTGTTTCACACAATTCCAGCCAAGTATATCACTGTGTCTTCTAGTTCCCTGGTTAATTCATTCTGTTGATGAAATATTTATGAGATACTTCTAAGTGCTTTCATGGAGCTTGTGTATTGGTAGGAGTGGGTGGAGGAGGAAAGAATCATAAGTGAAAGTAAACAAAGAAGGTAAGTTCAGGTAGAGGTAAGTGCTGTTAAAAAAAAAGGAACTGAAGGGAGAGAGAGGGCCCGGGCGGGTGGGTTGCTGGGAGTGACTTAGATAGTATAGTCAGAGAAGGCCCTGTGAAGAGGTGAGCCAAGAATTAACCTGAATGACCCTAAGTGAAGCATCCTGGGGAAGGACCCTGAGGCAGGAGCTAGTTTGGTTGCCATCCTTGTTTAAACCATGCCTCCTACCAAGTATATAGCAATACAAGCCTTTCTCAAGAAACAAGAAAGGTCTCAAGTACACAACCTAACCCT